ACATACAATTAAGCTCACGTGGATTGGCAAGTGACCCTCAGAATGAAAGCAATCTTACCTTTCCTGGTTTCAATTTTTCCTTTTTTTTTTTTCCCCCCGCTACCAGGGATCAAACCCAGGACAGGCACAGCACCACTGACATATATCCCCCTTCCTTCCCTTGGTTTTTGACTTAACTATTTCTTACCTTCTAATCAAGGTAGCACTATATTTAAATTTGTTTAAAATGTTTTATAATCTGCATTTAATTTTCAGTACAAGGATGAATATGGTCATAGTCAATCTGAGTATTTACTTTGCTGCATTGTTGGAAATGGAATTTTTATTTTAATCTTGCTGTCTTACTTTTCTCATTGCTGAGACACAATACCTGACACCCATAAAGTAAAGGAGGAAAGGTTTCTTTGGGTTCACAGTTTGTAGAAGTTTCAGTCCATAGTCATCTGGCTCCAAGCAGGGTGGCATGGCAGAGGGGCAGAGGAGAAACAGTCCATGGCATGGTTGCAGGAAGCAGAGAGAGATCAAGGGAGGTGGGAGGGTGATGTACTCTTTGAGGCTTTGCCTCACCTCCTGCAACCGAGCTTCACCTTCCAACATCACATTGAGCTATAAACTCATCAATGGACTAACCCACTGATGAATATCATGCCCCCATGATCCAATCACCTCTCAAAAGCCCCACCTATGAGCACATGAGGCTTTTGGGGGGACATCTAGAAATAAACCATTAACACTTGACTGTGAGTTTTTTGTCATTAAGAACTTATATTTTATTTGCTTGTCTTTGTTTTGTTTTTTGAACTAGGGCTTTGCTATGTTGCCCAGGGTGTTCTTGAACCTCTGGTCTCAAGCCATGCTCCCAAATAGCCAGGACCACATCTGGCAAGAAGTTGATATACTTAAATGCGGCTAATGTTTCCTTTATGATTACAACTTCTTGTCTAAGAAATGTTTCCTTACTCTCAATTTCCCAATGTCACAGTATACAAATATATTCTCTTATGTTTTCTTCTTATATGAGTAAATATATACTCACATATATGGAATGATTTATTTTTATTTTTGTTATATAGACAACTATAGATCACGGGTCAAATATGACTTTAGACCTGTTTTAGTACACCCTTATGAGTTTGACATGGTTTTATATTCTAAAAAGAGATATCCATATACCTATGCACACATACACATACACAGGAGCATAGGTGTACACACACACACACACGCACACACACACACGCAGAATGACAGAGGTTGTACATGGCCTACAAATTCTAAATATATCTGGAATTTACACCAAAAGCTTGCAAACTTTTGCATGACTCCACTTTCCCTCACTTATTTGCAACATTTTAGTTTCTCACTTATACTTGGGGGGTTTATTTCAGAGTCTTCCATTCTGATTCATTCATCTCTGTGTTTGTTGCCATTTCCAAATACCACACCCTACTGAAAATGGATGTTTTCATTAATGAAACTACAGGAGTTAAAAGAGAGGGATTAGAAAATGCAGGACCCATTTTCAGAGTAGAAATGAAAAAGAAAAATGAAGAAAATTCATCCTCAGCTTCCTAATGGGCCTGACATTAACTAGAGGCATAGAAACTCAGAGTGCTCACAAAATACGTCTCTACCATGCCCAAGCAGGCACTGGACCATGGAATTGGATTTTATTGATTAATTTGTAGCTGTGCATGGTGCTGTAGGAGGGACAAGACACTCAGGGATTTGTTCTAGGAAGTTTCCAACAAGGGAGAGCAGAGTACAGCAAACCCTTGGTCCAGGGACAGGGCTCAGTTAGTAGGCAAGGATTTTCCTCCTCACAGACTGAGCCATGGGTCTGGTGTTTCCTTACGCAGTGTGGTGGCCTTCAGCAGTCTCTGAACTCTGGTGGCCTCGGTTGCATGTGACCCCTACACATGGTCGAGGCCTTGGGTCCCACTGACCACAGCCCTGGGTCTTTGACACAGTCTCAGGTCCTGCTGAGGAGTGCAGAGGCTTTGTTGTGCATAGTTCCACTCTACTTCTTTGTGCTTTATTATCCCCTTTGGGGCCAAGAGAAGAGGAGAGAAAAAATGAGAATCATGGGAGGCTGGCCTGTGACCTTGCAAGGCCTGTCCCCTGGATCTAGCCTCCCTGGACAGGGCAGGAGCTGCAGGGCGGCACAGAGAAGCAGGGTGGTCAGTGGATTCCAGCCAGGACCAAGACTCATAGCATAGCTTCACCTGGTTCTTTGTTTGAGCTTCTCCTGTGAGCACTTCCCAGAATTCCTAACCTTTGCTGATAAACCTTCTAGTGTCCCTGATGGGCTGATGGGGGCAGGACTGGTCTTGGTGAGGTCTGGAGTCAAAGGTATTGTGCCAGGCTCGAGCATGCCCATAACCTGCAGAGAGAGAGACAAGAAGCCAGGTACATGGAGCCTAGGGGTCAGATTTAAAATTGGGACCTTAAGTGGCAGCTTCTTACAAAAACATAAATCACTTTACAGGCCAGCAAATGAGACATAAACACAGAAACCTAGATCTTAAAACATAGTCTTGAACAAAAATAGAGTGAGCAAAAGAATGAGTTCCATGCCACAGTGTCACACACAAACATGGCACTGGGCATATAAAAGGTAATATGTGGATCCCCGGTACCGAAAAAAAAAAAAAAAAGGTAATATGTGTGTTTAAGGGCAGCTCCATCACCTGCTTTAGTGAGTGTTTTGCGAAGGGAGCACTCCTATTGCACACCCAAGGTCAGGTTCCTGGAAGTGAAGCCTGAGCTGGGGATTCTGTCCAAGCGATTTATGTTGGGCAGGTCTTCCAAGGCTTGTGAAAGACCTGGCAAAGGAAGGTAAGCCAAGGGGGCACTGCGGAGGTCCAGCCTCAGCACAGGAGCTCTTCGGGTGAATTGCACCACTGTGGTGTCCTGCTCAGAGGCAAACAGGCTGAGTGGTTACAGCGATAGTCAGTGGCTAAGGGCCCTCCGAGGGGGTTGTGGCACCAGGGACCCTGGTGCAGCCCAGGGGAGACTGTCTGATAGAGTCCACAGCCCTTGTCCATCCAGGTGGTGTCCCAGGGGAAGGACTGCACACACAACCTCTGGAATATCCAGAAGAGAAAGACATGGCTCTGAAGGTGACTAAGCAAAGTACTTGAGGACAGGCCAAGGTCCACACGTGCTCTCCCAAGGGCAGCAGTGTCTAAATTCCACCTTGATGAGACCTGACTTCTGGGCTGGGACTCTCCCAGCAGTCTCCTTGTTATTTTGATTGAGTGGAGTCCATGGTTCCAACTGTGCCTTTCTTAACACCTGCAAGCAAGTGACAGTCACCTGCTGACTTCGGGAGCAGAGGTGACCTGCCGCACACAGAAAGAGAATTCTGTCCGCAGCGCCTCACCTCTGTCTCTGCCCTTTGCCCCTGCACTCTGAAATCGCTCTTCCCCAGGGCTCCTCAGGACCCGGGCTGGTTCAGGAGCTTGTGATTAGCAGCCTGTGGCTCCCTACCCCGGCTCAGATAGCTTTTTCAGGAACCTGTGGTCCTGATGAGCAAGCGAGCAAGCGCAGTTGACTGCTTCAAAGGATGAGCTGAGACCCCCTGGGGAATGACAGCTCTGCCCCAGGCAGGGGAGGCAAGCTTTCCCCACACGTGGACACTGGGAAGGATGAGCAAAAAGCCACCTTCCAATTGCTGCTGCCAGGAAAAACCAGTGCCCAAGAGGATCTTGCATTCTGCAGATCTTATTTAAAGTTTTGTGAGCAGCCTCGGTGATTCAGGTTCTGAGCTGGATCTTGGCAGCTGCTCGCTCAAATGAGGAGGGAGAAGGGCCAAGCAGGTGCCTTACCTTCCTCCCCAGAAGGTTCTGAGGACTCACCATGGGAGGGGAGTTCTTGTAAACTGAGGCTTGTAAGGGAAAGGAACCCTTCTGCTTGACCAATTAGCTAGCTAAAGTGCAAATATCTTTTAAAAGAGCTTAGGAGCCAGGTATGGTGGCATGTGCCTGTAGTATCTCAGCATTCCGAGAGGCTGAGCCAGGAGGATTGTAAGTTCAAGCCCAACCTGGGCAACTTAGCAAGACTTTGTCTCAAAATAAAAAAGGGTTGGAGACGTAGCTCAGTGTGAAGGCTCTGGGTTCACTTCTCAGTACTACCTAAAAAAGAAAAATTGCTTAGGGCACATGGCAGCTACTTTTCATTTCCATTTGATTACCTGCAAAATGGGGTGTTAGATGAGATCACTGGCTGTTCTGGATTGCACATTCCCATCAGTAAAATAATGCAAGTCTGCATCCTAATCAGTGTGTACTTATTTATCTGCATAGTATGCATATGTTCTACTCTACTGCTGTACGGCGTAGTAGGAATGACAAAGTCTGGGTAAGATAATATAAGTACAGCCCTGGCTTTTTCTTTCTCCACCCTCGCCATCCCTCCCTTTGGGATGTGAGTACTTTGAGGCTGGCCAGGTCAGAGGATCAGAAGGGCTCTTCCTGGTGGAAGGGTAGGGAAGACCTTTAGACTTGGACTGTCCACTATGGTGGCCACTGCTACTGCGGCTGTTTAAATTCATTAAATGACATAAAATGAAAAACTCAGGTTCTTGTACATGCTAATTGCATTTCCAATGCTCAGTAGCCACTGTGAGTTAGTAGCTTTATTATTGGTAAATGTAGACTGTAGAACATTTTTGTTACCGCAGAAAGTCCTATTGGATGGTCTGTTTGGCAAGTAGTGACAGTCATAGAGTTTGATGTTTAATCACAGTAACTTTTTAAAGTGCTTGCTAAGCAGCAAGAGAAGCATCTTACAGCCCTAGTTCATTTAGTTCCCATCTCAACTTCTTGAGTTAGACGTTACTGTTCTCCTTGTGTCCGGCATAGGGGAGGGCTGAGGTTTGGAGGGATCAGAATTAGAGTCGAGCCAGGAGTTCTCGGGGAATCCTCAGGGACACCTCGGATTTCCTGAGCATGAGCTCTCCAGGCTGATTCTCACACTTGTGCTTCCCTTTCCTTCAGGTGTGAAGGGAATTTCTGGCAGAGCCGGGCTCAGCTGCGAGCCAGCAGATTGCGCAAGCCAACCTGGGGACCGAGAAGAAGCTGCCCCCCACCTCCACTCGGGCGGGCTCCACGGGGAGTGTCAGGTAATGCTGGTCTTGGAGGTGAATCTGGACTGGGGAGGTGACAGCACCAGGCCCCAGCCTGGACACTGAGGTGCAGGAGGCTCGGGAGCCATCCTGGATCTAGCAAGGGTCGTGTGCATGCGTGAGGGATAATGACAAAGGTTGACATTTGTGAGACCATTAGCATGACTCTGAATCAGTAGAGAGGGCAGGAGGTGAGAAGAGAGAGCATCCCACGCGCAGCCCAGGGCTGGTGCCGGATAGAGACTGCCTCCAGGAATGCTGGGAGAACATGGTGTCACCTTCACCATCTCTAGGAGGGAAGCTTGCTGGGTTCTTTCTGCTGTGCCATTGTGAAGCTCTGGAGATCCATGGACAGTGTGGAAGCCCGTGTGGGCAGACGTCTGAGTAGTTCTATGAACAACAGGGGTCCTTGGCTTACCCGATCCTCTGCAAGCTGCTCTTAGCCACAAAAGCAGAATCACATGGGAGCTGCCTGCTTCCTGGAAAAGGGAGCTTAGGCTGCAATCGCTGAGCATCCAGGGCAAATCCTTACTTCTCTGGACCTCCATGTCCCCTCCCCGCCTCCCCAGCTGTAGTGGGCCGGGCCTTGGCCTTGTTTGCTCAGGGTTGACTGGGAGGATGAAGACCTTATGGCAGAGGCTGCAGAAGCCCATCTGGCTGAATTACCACCCTTCTGTGGCTCATTGTTGTGTGGTCAAGGGCTGACACTGGGCTCTGTCTAATGGCTGAGGCTTTTGGTCCCGAGGGACCACATGGGTAGGTGCTTCTTCTTCCACCCTAAGTGGCTCCAGTGCCCCCTACAGGAAGATGGCATTTGCTTTCTCTACTTACCCTTCACTACCCCCATTCCAGCCCCCTAATACTCAAAATCCTCTATGGAGGGAAGAAAGAGGAGTAGCATTTTGTTACTCAGACAGAATTTAAATCAAGATAGGTATTTGTTCTTGAAGTTGGATGACACATTGTAGAAAGGCAAAATATTGTTTTTGTTAAGGAAGATCAAGGGTTGGAATCCATGGGGAGAGACTGGTATACAGTGGGTAAGTCTAGGCAGAAATATGTTCAGGGGACCCAGCTCTGCTCTTTCTCCACTTCCTGTGGCTGTCGTCCTCATGTGTACTACATTGGTCTCTATCCAGTGGAATTTCCCAATGGGCTATGCTTGGTGACACACCCCAAATAGGGCATCTCAGAGCTGAATGGGGTCTGTCCATCAGGACAAGAGAAGTCTCACACAGGAAGGGCCACTGTGCAATTCTCTGCTTTGTCATCGTCGGGCCTTTCGGTGACAATGGCAGGTGGTATCAATGTCACTTCTGCTTTCTAGACCCTCTGTGTGTATCCCCTTCCCTCTCCTTGAGAGTTTCTCCCGTTTGCAATCCACTGTCAGGCGTCCAGGTGCAGCCTAACCTCTCTGAAGTGCAGGACATAACTCAGACCACCTGGAGGGTGAAGAGTTGGAGACATGACTGGGCCATGGGAGCCCCATGTGGTAGGGCAGCCCCTGTGGGATCGTGACCCTCGATGGCTGGCTGGCTCCTTGTTCCTTGTTTCCATGATCCTGCCCTCCTATGACTCCATCAAGTCCAGCTCTTGAACTTCCCCTTACGTAGGTGTGGAACTCCAGTAAAGGCCCTGGTAGAACTCTTGCTGTGGCATTGGCAGAGAGCTGGTGGCTGTGGCCGTGGAGGGGCAGGCCATTCCCAGCAGGCCCTGGAACCCAACCAAATCAGCCAGAGATCTGCCAGTCATCCCAGAGGGTGGAGGTCCCCCAGCAGCTGTCTTCCTTGCATCTTAAAGGCAGCTGGCTCCAGCTGTTGCTGGAAACTCGTGCCAGCCTTTGTCTAGAGTTGTAGGCTTGGTCTTGTGCACTGAAGGGGTGGGAAAAAAGATAATCCCCTCAGTGGATAACTGTGGTACAGTATGAAGGCAGACAAACAGACTGACTGCCTGCCTTTGCCCAGATCCCCCCAGGAACGACAAGATGGATTCCCTCATGGCATCTCCTGACTGTGTGGCTAGGACATTGACACTCTGTCTTAAGCCCTGTGAGAGCTGCTGAGTGTGTCCCTGCTTGGCCAACTCTGAAGCAGGCGATGACACTGACTGTCATCACACACTCAGTCTAAGAAGCATCCATGGACCACATTGGTACATACTGAGTGCCACACGCATATGAGACACATGGCAATAAGGTTTTCGTTGTTTGGCGGAGAATGAGGCCACTCTTGTTACTGGTCCGGGAGGAACACAGACGGGATGTGCTCTTGGGAGACAGGAGTTTCTTCTAGAAAGATGGATGTGGGGAAAGAAGACGGAGGCTTTCTGGATGGGACTCAGCATGTACAGGCTTGTGGCCAGGAAGGAGGAGTCTAGGAGGGCTGTGGCCAGGAAGGAGGAGTCTAGGAGGGCAGAGGAAGTGGGGGGACCCAGGAGGAGGGGCTGAGCAGCCACCTAGAGGTCTCACTTGGTGTAAGAAATCTGAACTGGTCTCCTAGGGTTGCAGTAAGAAGTCACCAAACAACTCTGGTGGCTTGAAACAGCGAAACCCCATGCTTGGTGGTCCTGGAGTCTGGCAGCCTTGAGGTCCTCCCAAAGCTCTGTCGGACGATCCTTCCTTCTTCTTCCAGTTTCTTGTGCCTCTTGGCTTGTGGTGCATCAGGCTGGTCTGTGGCTGTCTTCATGTGGCCTCCTCCCCCGCAGTCGGCAGGCCAAGTGTCCCCTTGTCTTTCTCTTAGACAGACACTTGTCAATGGCTTTAGGGCCCACACTTAATCCGAGTTCGGCCCATCTTGAGAATCTTGAATGAATCAGAACTGGAAAGAAAGCCTTTGGCAATTGAGTCATTTCCATGGGTTCTGTGGGTTTGGGTTTGGAGGCCACGATTCACCATTCTGGAGAATTCCTCCCCCAGCTAAGCCAGTGGAAGTGATTTTTTTTTTTGGTACTTGGGATCGAACTTGGGTCTTTGTGCTTGTGCAGGAGGCAGTGAAACCACTGAGCTAAATCCCCGGCCCAAGTGAAAGTGATCTTAAAACAAAAATTAAAAATGCAGAGTGCCAGCAATGTAGCTCACTGAGAAGGCCCTGGGGTCAGTCTCTAATACTAAAAAAAAAAAAAAAAAAAGCATGTTTCTGAGTGAAAGAGGTATCAGCGCACATGGACATTCCATGTAAAATGTTGCACATTACCCAGCTTTCAGTGTTTGCAAACAGTTTTTGCAGAAAATGTAATTATGAACCTTAATCATGAAAACAAAGTCCCCTACATTCTGGCAGAACATGTTCCATGCTTTGGGGAGCCATAGTCTGATGGCGACGGGACGCACTAGAGGGCCAGGTGGCTGGCTGGCTGGGACGTGGGCGTGGCCTCTGTGGGTCATGTCCACTGGAGCTGAAATCTAGCCACTGCCTGGTGTGGCTTTGCCAGTACTGAAAACAAGGGGTGACTGCTCTTCCCTCCTCCCCAGAGGTGACTCCCCAGGGTCACCTCTCTAGACCATCTCTTTCTGTCTTGTGCATGTACCTGGCTTGAGCTTGTGACTCTGGGACCCCAGGGTAAGGAGAGAGACCTTTCAAGCCTCTCAGTCTCAGGGATACCCACCCAGCAGGACCAAGAGCCCCAGAGGTCCTAACATTCCCTCCCTTTGGAAGAAATTCAGCTTTTCTATACCCTTCCTGTCCCAACATCAGCATTTCACAGCAAAGGGGTTGGGGGTGCCAAGGAATGAATAAGTGAGGCTCAAACAGAAAAAAAAAAAAAAAAGCCCTGCATGTGGAGCTAACAAACTAGAGGCCACCCCAAGGTCAAGTTCCTGCTGGGAACATAGCTCCCCCACCCACCCTACATGGGCAGCAATGCTGGAGCAACAGCCTGCAGAGGTGACAAATGTGTGCACTTTCATGTTTATTCCTGAGGCAGGAAGTTGAGCCAGTGGACTGGCTCCCTGGTGCCCATTTTCAAAGGCCTCTGGCTTCCGCAGTTAGGAAGAACACAGAGGATGGCCCCAAAGGGCAGGCAGGTATGAGCCTGTGGGACAGGGTCAGAGCACTGGCCCAGGGAATATTAATCACCACATGTTCCTCACTGAAGTGTCAGAAAGGGATCAGGGTAAGGCTGGTAAGGCAGCTGGTAAGGCAGCCCTGCAAGACAGAGTCGACAGATCATGATGGACACCATGGAGTCAGAAAGTAGAAGAGTGCATCAAAATAAAAAACACCTGGGAGTCAAAGGGGCGAGGGAATTTCATTACCACTGCTCCCCAGTATCAGTATTTCACAGCCGAGTGACAGGCACTCAGAGGCTGTTGGGTGTCAGAAGATAAAGTGCTCTGCTTCAAAGGAACCCGAAGAGGGGTCTTGGTGGTCCACCACTTACAAATGACTTTCTTGGTTCTCCTTTGATTTGGCAGGTTCTGGAGAGATCAGAGCTGGTCTTCAGTGTGTGTGTGTGTGTGCACGAATAAGTGTTCCCTAAGTGTGTGTTTGGGGGCAAGGGAGGAGGACTTGTTTCCTGTGACAGGACAAAGATGGGGCTATCTGTTTTGGGTGGGCTGAGAGGCTATGACTTGGGAGAACTGGATCGAATTTGACAAAGAAACTGATAGTGGTCTTTTTGAGGAGGGACTTGGCAGGTGAAAGGTAGGAAAACCATAGGTCTTAGTCCTTGTATCCCAACCAGAAACAGTAAGACATTTGCAAATAGTGGCCACGAATACCTGTGTCCAGGGACTGAAATATGCTATGACTTATTTTTTATCTTTTTTTTTGAGATTCTTCCTGTCAATAACTTTAGGAAGATGAGAGAGAGAATGTTTTTTAAAAAAATATTTTTAAAAAACTGCTTAATTTTTCTATTCCAATAGCTTGGGACTAATCATTCAAATTAACAGATGGCTTGGTGGTGAACTCATCCGAAAACAGAAGGCCAGAGGAGTTATGAAGGATGAGACCTAAATTGTAAGATGTTTACATTGATTAGAGCCTGTGAAACACTCC